GGAAGCACCCGCACGGGACATCAGCACCACCGTACCTCCAAAGCAGTGCCACCCCCCCTGCTCGCCCCTCGCCCAAAGAGAGAAACCACTTGCCAGAAAGAAAAAGCCCCCCCCAGCAGCATTCACGGAGCGTTCTCACCCCCGTCCCCCTTTCCTTTTTAAAGGCAACAACTTACCGCTGGCAATCACTGCAAACAGCAGGGCATGCCCCGGCGAGGAAGGTGCCTTGGTCCCAGCTTTCGGATGAGGAAGAGCCAAGAAAACGCGTGGCACGGTACAGATGAGCACAGGGGGGAGGCTGCTGCCTCTCATCTCCAGAGGGATGCTCTTTTGTTTCACGCCACCCCAAACGCGGTTTAGGGGAGGCTTATCAGCCACCCCTTCATCCTCTCCTTCCGAGGCTGCTTTTGAGTACTTCCCCGAGAGACGATCACAAAAGGATTCCTAAACCGGGCAAGGCTGCGATGGTTCAAGCCCACCGCGACCCCAGACCATGGTCGGGAAGGGCAGCCCCCAAGACGACGAGGTTACCCAACGCGCGCAGCCCAAGCCCGCCTCGCGCTGGAACCATCGCCCTTGCAAACGCACGGCAGAAGCATTTCCCAATTCCCGCAGGGGACCAGGGGCTTGCAACGCGCCAACTTCGTTACCTTAAGGCCCAGCATCCCTTAGGGCCAGCACCAACGCGTTTGACGGCCTCTCTGCTGGAGGGGAGTTGAGACCACGTCCCCTTTGAGCCCCCTGGTCCTGCCTGCGAGGCAATGAGCGAGATAAACCAGGAGCTGGCAGACGTCGTACCAAAGAACACACCAGCAGACATCGCTTTATTACACTGGTTTGGTTACCCAGACTGACCAGGAAAGCTGTTTAGATGGATGGAGACAAACGAGGCAGGGTTTTATCAAGCCGAAGCTCCGGAATCGTTACCAGGGATTAGGTATTCTTCACCTGGTTGTTTCGCGTGTACCTCCTCGGGTCTGTGGCGGGGAGGAGGCGGTGGGTACAGCGACCGAGCCCCCCCGAGGCGTGCCGGCCACCGCCCCATCCTGGGACAGACCCCCGAGCGTTTGCTGTACCGCCAAGAGAGGGCCCCGCGTTGGCACAGACGGAGGGGAGATGGACCGACCTGAGCCTCGCCCCGCGGGGCCTACAGGAGCCCAGCACGGGGTACGAGCCACCGAACAGGCAGGTCACAGTTGGTGGGGACTGGTCTGAAGCTGGAACCAGGACGCCTCGGGGTGGGAAGGCATAGAAAGGAATACTCGCTCAGCTCAGCGCTCGCCGCCCGGTTACAAACGTGTCGGCACGTGTCCTTCACTACCCCCCAGTCGGAGCAGCCCTTGAGCGCCTCCACAGCACCCTGTACAGCCTCTGGAACACCACCTGGTGCTTCCTCGCCTATCAGCCATCCTCCTCCTCTCCATCCTCTAAGGAGCTGGGGCAGCCCCCACACCCCCCGATCCATAAGCTCCGCTTCATTTGTTGAGCTCTTCAGCTGCACCCCAAGCACTCCATTAACTAAGACTGCCCTGCTGCCAAGCGCCCGTCCTGGAGAGGGGGAAAGCGTTTGGGTCACCCCTGTGAATACGGGAGCCACGCAGGCTTTGGTTGGCAAGACCAAAACGGAGCAAAAAAGCAGACGTTTGGTAGTCAGCAGCTCCGCAAGCCCCCCGCCACTCAAAAAGTTTGGGGTTGCACTCCCAAAATTTTACTGGTGGTGTTCATGTTGGTTTTTTCTGGATAAACACCTCCCTGAAAAATACCCTTTAGCAGCCAGATTAGATCACAGTATTTAGAAAGTGATACGGTTATGTCAGTGCCTTAGACACCAACGCAAAGGCTTAGAGCAGAGGTTACAAAATTGATGCTTAGTGGAGCACTTACATTTTGGAATAATGACCTCAAAGGGAAAAAAAAAAAAAAAAAAAAAAAAAGCCCGGGTTTCCAATTTCCTTTCCCAGCTGCTGAGTCACCGGCAAAGGCCCCGCCTGGCCCGG